ACACACACACACACACACCTTCTTACTCTATCATGCGGGGCGGTAAACGTGCATCCTTCCCCCCTCTTCATTTCAAGAGAAAAAAACAAAAAAAATCACACGCAAATGCATCACAGCTCACAGCATCTGGCTTTGCCGCTACTTGCAAACAACCCCCCTCCCCCCTCCCCCACCGAGCCCCGCAGTTTTGATTATACTTTTTCTCCTCTTGTTGTTTTGTAGCCTTGCCTTCAGCCACCTGTTGTTGTGCGGATTGTGGGGCGCAATAGGGGTAAAGATAACGATCTATTCTTCAGGACCCGTACACATTATCTGGGCGCTGTGACAATTGCTGCTGATGACATTATTCTGGGTGCTCGTATTGTCAACGCTGGAGACGACGTCCCTCTCATCAGGGAGCGGCGATCCCTCAAATAGCAGCAGCTGCGCCTGCACGGCAAGTGACAGTTCCTCGCGCCGCATCACATCTTGGAACGGCGTTTGCCACAACTGCCCAAATGCAGTGAGAACACACGCCACATTCCGCGCGTAGTGGCCGCCGTCCTCCATCAGCAAATCAGAGTCGTTCTCATCGTTGCCCAACGCGTCCTCACCTGTCGCTACTGTGCCACTAATACTCTTGTCTGGCCACAAACTATCACTGCGGTCGCTTTCCGTCGCCTCACATTCCTTCCCGTTCACCAGGCGCAACTGCTGCTTGAGCCACAAGATACCGTTGTCATCGGCGGTGGCAGCGATACCGCGCTTCCCACGCCGCTGCTGCAGGACGAAAAGGGCGTACTCGTTGAGCTCCACGTCCTGCTCCTCCCCACGGGAGACGCACTCCAGCTCCGACAGCTTCGAGGATGACGGCGACGAGCCACGCCTGCCACCGCGGCTCTTTGGACTCGGTTGCGTCGCCTCGCTGCGCGATGCTGGCACCACTGCAGATCCAGAGAGCGGCTTCACGCAGGAGATGCCGCTGGTGGTATTGAGTAGCTCCGGCGACTCCGCGTTACGCGACACCACATCTTCCATCATCTTGTGGCGCACAGGCGAGCGCGGGGCGGAGCTGCCACGTGCCAGCGACTCGGCTGTGGGGTACGGAATGTCCCACTGCCCCGTTGCATCCCTTGCTCGGCCGTTCTCCGCCCCCTTGAGCGATGGTGTCGGGGATTCGGACGCGATACTATACTTTGTTGGAGAGACGTCAGGGGTGCTATCTGTGTGGTAGGACGGCGGAATCCGTTCTTCTTCTTCGTCGTCGTCTTCTTGCAGCTGCTGCTGCTGTCTCTGTGGTTGTTCTTTTTTCCGTTGCGCCCGTTCCTGCCGCCTCTGTTCCACTCCCGCGGATGCGGCACGCAGCTCGGAAACCTTGAGTGGGCGGGAAACACCCCCGAAGTGCCGTGACGGTGGGGCTGTATCAGCTGCCGCTGCCGCTGTTGGCCTTGCTGCTGTTGCTACACTCTGCGACTTATTCTTGCTCCCCCTTTTATGCGCAGTGGGCGATGCTTCTGGCGCCGCTGCTGTCACCTGTCGCCCACCATGGATCTCTTTTACACCAAGGCCGCCGTCCGCGCCACGGACTGCCCACTGCACGGGCCTTTCCTCCGACTTGGCGCTAAGCCGCTGCGGCACCTCGGAACCCTTCACCAAGGCGGGTGCTCTGCTGCGTAGCGAGGTTCCCAATACAACATACCGCCCCGTCCCACTGCCGCTTCTCTCCTCCCGCTCCTTCGCCACGCTGGCCGTCGTCGTCGCCGTTCGCCGGGCACCAGTGGCTTCGGTGGAGGTGTTGCGGCTGTTGTCTAACCCATGCGGTGGTGGCGGCGTTGCCGGTTCGCTGCGCACCTTCCGCGGTGCCTGCTTCGGCTGCTGCTGCACACTAACAGACACCTCCACCTTAAGCCGCGGCTTCTGCCCGCCGTTTGTGCTGTTGGCACACAGCACGGAGTGGCCTAGCTGCAGCGAAGTGACATGCTGCTGCAGAAGCAGCTCTCGCTCGTCGTGTTCCGCCTGCGCGAGCATCAGCCGCTCATAGTTCTCGTCGCTGCGCAGCGCGAAGAGGGGGTTCGCAAAGAGCTCTGCTGCTTCTTGCGCGGCAATGTCGAGTAGAAGTGGTGAGGGTAGAGAGACCGCACCGCTGCTGCCACCACGCTGCTCACTCTCGCCGTACGTGGCACCGGGGGATTGTTCCTTCCCCTCATCAAACGGCGTCGACGGCCTCGATGATGATCGTAGCGCCGGCAGAGGGGTGAAACTTTGCGAGAGCAGCACCGGTCGCTTGTTGGTTAGGGTCAAAAGCGACGCACTTGCCGGCGTGACATTACTATTGATGTTATTGTTGTTGTTGCAGCTTCCAGTGTCAACGGGAGAGGCAGAGCGCTCCACCCGGTTGAAACCGTTCTGAAGGATGGAGGATATCATGATGTCGTTGTCGGAGCGGCGCTGCAGCAGCACCGGGCTCAGCTCCACGCCCGTGCTCACCTCAGCGGTGGTGCTGGTAGAAGTCATCGTGCTGCCCTGCTTCCAGTAGCCACCGCTGTGCCTATCCGACGCAAAGAGCCGCGCGCGTGGCTGCCTAAACAGCAGTGGCGTGCCGCGGGCAATAATGTGCCGCTCATTCATCTGCACTGTGCGCGCCCGCGCTGCCGCATCGCTCTCCCCCATCTCTGGCGTGCTCTCAGCATCTGGGGAGGTTGACGGCAAGTCTTGCGTGTCGTTTTGCAGCCACCGCGCAGTGAGAACGGGCATCGCGGCAGGCACTGCGGCAGCAACTGCAGCAACACCACTGTGGTCAGCGGAATGCCGCCCAACACGCCGCGCGCGCTCGCGCAGCCAGAGTGCCTGGTTGCGGCGCACCATCTCCTCGTAGTTTGTGCTCCCTGGCGCGCGGCGATCGTACAGCAGGTACTCGTCCTGCGGCTGCACAATGCTGCGCGCCCACTCCTCCGTTACAACAGGACCCGCAGTGCGGCGCACGCTGGGGGACCGACTGATGTCCGAGAATGGATCGTGGTGGTGCTCCTGATGATAATGCGGGTGGGCCCCGAACTCACTCACCGTCGTCCCGACGGCAGTGTGCATGTCATGCAGCAGGGAGCCGGCGTCCTCTTCTTCGTCGTCGTCGGCGTTACTGTCAAGGTGCACCTCGCCCCTGCTCTCCTGCGTGGACTGTACGCTCTGCGAATGTGACTGGCGTATAGCTGAGCGTATCGGCACGCCGGTTCGCGGGGATGGCGCAGCCTGCAGCCGCTCTTGCCGCGCCTGCTCGCCACGCAAGTCCTGCGAGAGAAGAAGCCGCGGCAATGAGTTGAGCTCCTCCGCCTCGAGCGACGCATAATCTAAGTGTTGTTGCTGCTGCTGCTGCTGGTGATGATGCCTCACGTGTGGTACCTCACTGACCCGCATCGGCTGAGCGCGTGCGGCGTGATACATATTGGCACCAATGCTGTCTTCCTCGTGCTGCTGGTGCTGCGACGTTGTCTTTGACTTCTTACGCGTGGACTTCCGTGCTGTGGATGTCGTGGACCGCGACGTCGTCCACGTTGTGCGTGAGGTGCCGGCGTCTGCGTGCGCCGCCCGGCAACACCCCCGGCACAACGCGGCGCTGTCGGCACTGGCGAGACCGACGCCGTTCGGCACCCCACTGCGTGCCGGAAGCGCACGCGCCGAGAGGGACGCGGGCTTCAAGACTCTCTGCCGCACTGGGTCCCGCCGCTCGCTCCCTACCCGTGCCTCTAGTTCCCCTGTAGTTGTTGCCGCTGAAGCCTCTCTGCTGGCCAAGGAAGAGCATGAGAAGGGCACTGCTCCTGCGTCCGTGGCGCGTGGATAGAGCCGGCTGTACCGCGGACTGCACTCCGTTCTGGTGCCCCTCCGTGTTGCCGACATGTCGTGTTTTCTTTTAAATATCTCTTTGATTTTGCCTTTTATCCTCCCACCCCCACCCACTCACTCACTGACGTTTGTCTTCTTTGGGATCCTCTATCGCTTTGCGACTCGTGCACCCGCTGCGGTATATATAAATATAAATATATACACCTTTGCCCCGCCGCCGCTTAGCCCCAAAGCACACGAGTAAACAGAGACGCTGCTAGCCCGTCTTCTCCCCTCCTCCACTCACCCCAGCGCAAGTCCTCTTCAACGGATAGAGAAAACAACAACAACCGACGAATACCACTGGGTACGTCTTTCTGCAGCTCTCTCTCCTTCAATCACTCTCTCCCTGTGTATATATGTGTGTGTGTGTGTGCGTCAGCACTCTCCTCCGACGGTGTGCTGCCACGCCTTCACTGAAGCACCCGCCTTCTCTCCCTCCGCTCCTCCTGCTCTAACAGTGCGATCAAAAGGCAAAGGAAAAAAAAAAAACCCAAAAGATGAAGCATTATCACACCACAATCCAAGACAAACGCCCCACAACGAGGACAAACACCAACACGCACACACTGGAGGTGAAACAGAATGGGAGATTGGTGCAAGGAGCGAAAACACACAACGGCTTGTGGTGCCACACCCCTTCACCCCCGCGCCAGACGTATTGGGTGCGGTATGTGAGCCGCCCAATCGCGATGCCACGTGATGCGTTACTGACCAGCGCACCACCAGTAGCAGTAATAATAATAATAATAATAATAATGTGCGGGAAAGAAAAGAGAAGAGAAGAGAAGACAGGAAAGCATAATGGCAACAGGAGGACACGAGCCCCACAGCGGACCCGACAACAAACAGCGGCAACAGCGCCGGAAGAACAGCAGTCGAGCAGAATACAAATTGTCATTTTATCACTAATGAGAGCTACAAGAAACAGGCATGGTTATTAATCCCTTTTTTTTTTCTTTCTGCCTCTCGTCTGCTTCTTCGTTTACTTTACAACCGAGAGGGATCTCACGCTCCGTTCGTGTTATTCCGCTTTAATCGTAAACCTCATATGTGTGAAACGCCGTCACACCTCTGTTTTTTTTTTTCGTTGTTTGTTTCTTTGCTTTACCTCTCGATTGGGATTCTGATCGGCCCCCACTCCACAACAGACGGCCACCAGCTCGCGGCACTACCGCCCCCCACTCACATCCCCACCACTCTTGTCCCCTGGCCTCCCCCGCCCGCTGCCAGCGCTGCTCATCGTCGCAGAGTCACCAGCAGCGCCATCGTTGCCATAAAGACGCATTTGGCCCCCACGCGGAGAGTTCCCCCACACGTCAGCGCCTCTGCTTCTGCTGCTGCTGCTGAGGCGGCGCTGCGTCACCGCTGCGGCTGCGCTTGCGTATTATCTTGAGTGTCTCCCGCTTTGTTGCTGCGTCCTTCCGCGTGCTCTGCACTGCCGTGACCTCCGCAGTCAGCGCGAAGAGCACATCGTCCACCGTCACATCTGCCCCGCCGCCCTCTTCTTTCTGCTGCCGCTTCTTCTTCTCCAGGTGTGGACGCTTCCTCTCCGCAGCGACCACCGCTGCACCGTCATCATCGGCAAAACAAACACGGAGGCCCTCCAGCTGCTCGCGCAACATCGTCGATGCCTGCGTTGCCAACGCGCTGAGTTTCTCCGAGCGGCTGTTGGAGCGCATGGCCACCGTAATGGTAGGCACCATTGTGTGTCGCACAAATGAGAGGCCAATCGCACGATTCGCAATCCAACGAACCCCCTCTGCTGCTGCTGCTGCTGCTGTTTCTGCGTTACTGCTGTCTATATCGGTTGGCAGGGTGGCAAGGAGCCCGCCAAAGTACTGCACGAGCGATGTGGTGCGCACCATCACGTTGGCGACACTGCTGTGCTTGATGACCGGCGTCGCGATCGCGTGCATTTGTCGGCAAAGCGACGCAAAATGCGGCGCAATGATATTTTCCTGCACCTGCACAACCCCGCCGGCGGTGCGAGACGCCACAAGCATCAGTACCACACTCACAGCGACCATGGCACGTGTGAGGTAGAGCGCAACGCCAACGGCATCCGCACGTGCCGGTTGTTGCATCGCACGGTGTGCGGCGTACCTTTCGTTCGGCACGTCGGAGAGTTCAACGAACTGCAGCAGAGACCGCAGAGCTGTGGCAATCTCTTCAAGCGCCGCCGCGGCTCGCGCTGTGGTGTCCAAAAGGCCAGGCGCACGGAACCGCACAACGTACGGCATGACTGCACCGCCAGCAGATGCTTCCTCCATTTCACCTTGTTCCTCCTCCTCCTCCTTCGGAGGCTGCGCCCCGCGTTGTCCCTTCACTTTCTTGCCCTTTTTACCTCTCTTTGCGGTGGTGAGATCCACATTTGCTGCTGTCCAGTTCGTGTGCTGGAGGTAGCCGCAGTGTTGCTCGACACCGTCGTTGCAGTACAGCCGAAGCAGACGCAGTGCCGCGGCCTGAATCCACGGGTGCGTGTGCAGCACGAGACGCCCGGCCAGCCACGGCACCAG